ATAACATCCATTACCCTCACTGAGCACATTGTTTAGCGTTAAACCCCTTCTGTCTGTCAGAAGGGATTGTAGCAGCAGTCATGTGAGCAGAATGGTAAAGGCCATGCCGGCATCGTCCAAGAACTCGGGTGACGTCCAGTGAGAGCAACTGCTGCTCGGGAGACAAATGCCGAACGTCTCCGACAAAGGATACAAAAAGCAACGTCCTTTTCTCCCACTCACACACAAAAATTAAGTGATGTTTGAATCTTGAATTTAGCCTTCTTTTTGATAGTTCTTTGTCATTGTTGTGACATTGCTTGTACAGTGTCATTTTCTGGTGGTTGCTGGATCATCGGATTATCCAGTGGTGGCTGGAATTCAGATCCCAAGCAGGAGGTGCTGACAGTGAGGCCACCGTCATCTTCCCGGTCCCTACCCATTAGACCTCTGCTTAAACTCAAAGACTAAGTCCTCACCAAAAACCAGGGAGAATGGACTCCACCGTGCAGGGTAGCTGGGCGGACTGGGTAAGACTGGGGTCACAGTGCCACCCCATCACATGAGGTCCACGGGCAGCCTGACCCCTCCCTTGTCCTGCCTTCAGTGCCGGGTCAGTGAGTCTGGCCAGGAGCTCCCGTGGAGTGCTAAGGGAGGAAACACTTCTCTCTGCCTTGAAAGGAGCATGGGGCGTATTTTCTACTTATTAAATGAATGGATGAATGAAGTTCAGCAATGACCTATGGAAAACGCCTAGAACAGTGCCTGGCTCATAGTAGGTGCTGGACAAACAATACCAGTGGAAGGGGCAGCCGGTGGGTGGTGCGACGGAGAGGTTGGAAGCCACGCGGCACAGTCAAGGCCTTTGCTTTGCCATTTCCTGGCTGTATGACCTTATGCCAGTTGTTGGTCTTCTTTTAGGCCTCAGTTTCCCCAACTATAAACTCCACCTACAATGTGGAGTTGTTGCAAGGTCTAAAGATAACAATAATATTTGTTAAAAAAAAAAGACCAAGTACTGGAGAATCCAAAAGACCTTCCAGCCCAGACCCAGGAGACAGTGAAGTACCAGTTTGAGGGCTCTGCATAAATAGGGTGAACAGGAGGACGGAGAAAACCTGGAGAAGGGCGTCTGGGTGGGGTGCACAGGGAGCATGGAAGCTTGGCAGGCAGGTGGGCACAGGTAGGAGCAGGTGGGTAAAGGGAGAGACGAACGTTGGGAAGCCCAGGCTGAGACCTTCAGACCCCCACCCCTGGCACAGACTCAGAGGTGCTCAGGAAGATGCTGGAGGGTGGATGGGAGCGGTGTGGGGGTGGGCCCAAGTCCTACTTCCCCCTTTAGAAATGAATTAAAATGACATTGATTCAACAGCCCTTGATGGGCTCATCTCTATTAACTCCTGCCTTTGGCTGAAGTTACTCTTCTTTGTGCTGTCAACCTTGGGCCCCGCAGCAGCCTGTCACCACAGTGATTATCGAAGACGGGGATGAGGGATCTGGGGGTGTGTTTGTCCAAGTTGCTTCATATCAGAGGCTGTTGAGACGACACGGTGTCTCCTTAATCCCTGTGAGACAGAGACAAAGTCGTTCTGACATCTTCAGATGGGAATTCTACCCTTGGTTCCCAACAGTGACTGCTCTACACTGACCCCGGGCCTTCCTGACTTTTGCCTGTGATCAAGATCGCAGGAAACCGGCTCACAAAGTCTCACCTAGAAGTTTATAAAGGACTCAGCCAAGGCTAGGTTCCCCTGCACAGGCCTGCAAAGACTGGGCCATTTCTCCTTGGATTGAGGACACCGACACATACAAATTACTGAAATGATGAACAGTGTTTTAAGGATGGGCCTGGGTCCTGGGGTCCGGTCTGGGATTCCCCAAGACTGTTATCCATTTTCCTGCTTGTCACTGGTGTCTCCTACCCATCCTGGCCTTCTTCTCTACTCACCTTCTCGTGGGCCTGGCCATACACACTTTCCAAGACCACTGCTTACGCCTAAACCAACCAATGGGAAGCTCGAGAGTATTCTAGGAACCCAGAAAGCTAAGGAGACATTCTTAACATCCATGAGCTGTTGCTGGGGTTGCCGGGGGATGGTTTTGTTACTAATAACCTCTCGTTGTTCTTATGTCGAGCTATAACTCAACTCATTCTGGAATATTTGAAAATACAGGCAGGCAAAAAGAAAATAGAAGCCCCTAACATCCCACTATCCAGAGATAAACACACATTGCCCTATAAATTCCTAGGCTTTCTTTCTATGCACCTAGATATGTTTGTGCTTTTTCAAAATAGGACCGTACAGTGCTGTTTTGCAACCTGGTCTTTTCACAGATCCACTGTAAATATCTTTCCGTGCCATTAAATAGGCTCTCGCACCTTCGTTTTCAATGACTGCCAGTGTGTGCCGGCAAGACGTGCCCCAGTAGGCTTGTTGTGTTGTTTCCTTCTCACGCCTGTGGTCCTGCAACTCCAACCATTGCCCACTAAGAAAGTGCCACGGTTTAGCCAATTAGAAGCTCTTCATTAAAAATGAAAAGGGCATCCGCAGCCCTCCAGAGGGTGGGCCAGCGTCCTCATTCTTCTGAAAGGTGTCCGTGTTGCAAATAGCAACCTGGCCATTAGCCAGTTAGGCTGTGCGCGTGGAAAAGAGGACCGGCTGTATTTCCCTGTGGACTTCTTTACAGAGGCTGAGCTGCTTACAAAAAAGAGAAAGAAAGAAAGTAGAAGAAGATGTTTTGTAATTGTTTGCAAGCGCACACAAGCTCAGTGGCAAAATGAGACGGAACCCTTGATTTCTAACCTCCTGCTGCACTGTTCAAAATTCCTCCCAGAGAGGCAAGTGGGAAGCAAAGTGAAGCACTCTGATTGTAAAATTTGCATTCTCTCTTAGCTGGTTATTGTCCCAAAGGACATTTCACATCAAACTGTACTTGTTTGTAAAGATCTTTCACCCAAGACAGACTACTTCTCAAGATACTGCTGATATATAGGCTAGAGAAATACAAAGAAAGAATTAAAAATACTGACAGCCCCCAGGTAAAAATATAAATGGATTTAAGGACAGCTGCTGTCAGCTCAGAAACCCTCAATGGATGAACTGGTTCAGAGCCCCAGTTAGGTAAATAATCAGAGAAACAACAGCAACAGGGAGGAAAGCTGAACGATGTTAATTAAGGAAATGCGTTTGTTCAGCATACTTTTAGGCAACACCAGTAGTGGCCAGGCACTGAGAGATACTCAGAGGTGGATAAACCCCCATTTCCACGCTCAGGGAGCCAACGGTCTCAGACAGGAGTCAAAGGTGCCAACAAACATTTGTAATATACAGTGACAAACGTTGCACACAGGCACATATGTACAAGGCATGTGACAACAGAGGTGTGACCCCTCTGCCTGGTGGCACTGGGGAGGCTTCCAAGAGGAAGGAAAGATAGGAATGTCGAGGCTATCGTGTGAGACAGGGCGTCCCAGGAAGGGGCACACCCAAGGCATGGGGGCATGAAATAGCAAGTGTGTTCTAAGAACCACACCTGGTCAGGTAGGATTGAAGCATGGCGGTGGGGCCTCAGGAGGTGAAACTGGTGGGGCCCACGGGAGCTGGATCACGCTGCGTCCTGTGTCCTGGGGAAAGGGACGATCCAGCAGGAGTAGATTGCTGGGAGGGAGGAGGGCAGACACCGGAGGGCGCATGAGGACCACGCTCAGCGTCAGGAGTGGCTACCCACTCAACAGCAAGGGATGCGGAGCTGGCCTTCCATGCTGAACAGTCTCAGCCGAAGGGCCCTGAGGCCCAGCCAGCCTCGGGAACGGTGCTGCCTCCAACAGGGCTCCGCGGCCACGTGGAAAAGAGGGGCAGACGACAGCTGGATTCTGGGGAAGACTTGGCCATTTGAGTAGGGGTTGGCCATCGTCCCCTCCACTCCAGGGGACTGAGGGTGTGGATGAGAAAGTGACTGCACCGCTGCCCGGGGGTGAGGAGGAACGAAGTCAGGAGGGGCTGAGAGAGATGAGGGGCCAAGGACTCAGGTCTCCATGGAGCAGAGATGACCGGTAACCAACAGGTGTGGGCGAGCTCGAGGGGACGGAGGCTGTGGTCTGAAGTCAGACTCCAAAGCTGATGGCAGTGACGAGGGAGTGACCAGGGAGGAACAAGGCAAGGCTTGCCTCCCCCTCTCACAAAGCTGAGCGGTTTCCAGGAGAGGTACCTGCAGCTGGAAACAGCCTGACCCTCTAAGGGGCTCTCTCTAGAACTGTGCCTGCCAGACCCTTAACCTCCGGGCATGACAAAGCGCCCGGATCACCATTGCCTGGAGCACTACCATTGGGACCACATCACCTTCCGGAGGAGCACCGAGCAGTTACAATTTTGTCATAAGTTACAACTCTGCACATGGATTCTCACGGCAGGTCGCTGGCTGTTTCCACCATTTGGTAACCAGTGGAGCTTGTGGCCTCAGTGTTTGCCATAATTCATTCTTAACTCAGTTTTTTTCTTTTTCTAATATTTATTGAGGTTTTCTTTTTAAGAGGTACACAGTTTCAGGGTACATGTGATAATTTAACACACTGATATAATTTGTAAACATAAAATCAGTGTACTTGGGATATCCATCACTTTAAACATTTGCATGATTCTAGCTATTTTGGAATGTACAAGGGGTTACTGTAAACTACAGTCGCCCTACTGATCTAACACTAGGTCTTATTTCTTCTATCAGCCCCTGTATTTGTGCCTATTAATCACCTTCTCTTCGATCCCCCTCCCTCTGGTAACCACCCGTCTATCTTCATGAGATGCCCATTTTTAGCTCCCACATGAGAAGGTGCCAACTCAGTTTGTAGCCCTGACGCGGCAGACCCGGACTCATGTGCTTTCACTCGGGGTCACCCTCGACCTTTTAGGGAGCCAACTCGCCCGATAAACGCCAGCCACTGCGCAGCGTGTCAGCCGTCGAGGGTGCGGGATGCGGGGTCCAGGTTGTCCCCAGGCGCGTGGTGACCCTCGGCCTCCCCGCAGGTGCGCGCAGGCGCTGCTGGAGCACGGCGCCTCGGTGCAGCTCGCGGGCGGCGCGGGCCGGGACACGCCGCTGCACGTGGCGGCGCAGCGTGGCCTGGACGAGCACGCGCGCCTCTACCTGGGCCACGGAGCGCGCGTGGACGCGAGGAACGGCCGCGGCGAGACGGCCCTGAGCGCGGCGTGCGGCGCGGCCCTGCGGCCCGACGAGCACGCGCGCTGCCTGCGCCTGTGCGCGCTGCTGCTGCGGCGGGGCGCGGCGGCGGACGCGCGCGACGAGGACGAGCGCAGCCCGCTGCACAAGGCCTGCGGCCACGCGCGGCACGGCCTGGCGCGCCTCCTGCTGCGGCACGGCGCCGACGCGAGCGCGCTCGACTACGGGGGCGCCTCGCCGCTGGCCCGCGTGCTGCAGACGGCCGCCTGCGCGCCCGAGGACGCGCCGCAGCGCACCGTGCAGGCGCTGCTCAACCACGGCTCCCCCACCGTGTGGCCCGACGCCTTCGCCAAGGTAAGGCGGGACCCCGAGGGCTGGCATGCGCCACGGGTGGCCGAGGAGCGCCCGGGAGCTTGGCAGCGCAGCGACCCTGCCTGTGGGAGCCCGGTGCATGCTGCTCCCAGACTGTAAAGGGCCCAGGCGCCCCCTTTGCACCTGTTAAAGTGCAAATTCGGATCCAGCGGGTCGGGTGGGAGATTCTGCATTCCTAACAAGCTCCTGGGTGAGGCCCAGGCTACTGCCCTGGGAGCCCACTTTGAGGAGCAGGGCCCTAGAAGCCTTCTGGTTAGAGTCGCTAGAAAATTAAGACGTTGGATGTCAGTGAGCATACCAGAATATATCCTTTCAAAGTAGTCACCTGGGGACGCCAAGCACTTGATTTCGCTGACGCTGTCATGACCTAAAACATTTTGGCAGCTCATCTTTTGGCGTAATTTTCAGAACGATGAAAATCAGTCTCTTGTCGCATCTGGCATTTGATCTGAAACAAAATTACCCAATCTGATCATCCACCCTATTAATGATAATACTTTGTACTTTTGCAAATTTCTCTCATTCAGTCCTCGCCACATTGCTGCAGAATTCGCCCGCAAATGTTCTTACTCTACCTGGGTTTCAACCAGGTGAAGTGCCCTGTCCAGGTCTCCATTGTGTTGGGACCTCTCCCCCGTTCTGCTGGCTTGCCCTTGCAGACTTGACTCTGAGCAACTTGTCACTTTTCCACCTGTCAGATCTACCCGGAAATAATTATGATGAAGAAAAAATTTTCTGATTAGAGAAAATACCCAAAAGACTGAAAATGTTTGCAGAAGAAAAGTTCCCAAACTATTGGTTGGAATAAGAGACTGTCCTCCCAGAAAGACCTCAGTGAATGGAAGTCATCCCATTTGGTGTAAAATTTGGGTGTGTTTAATTTTAAAATTATCCCCATCAACCAAGATTCACCTGTCATAGGCAAGGACATGTTTTGAACAAATAGCTGAAAAGCTAATATTCAAAAGGACAATATTCTAGACGGTCTGAAAGAATGAGATTCACACATTTCTCTCAAATGCTAACTTTTCACGTTAGATGCATTCAGAGTAAAGGTTAGGCAAACACCGAAAATCCACTGAGACAACTCCCCAAGTGTCTCCTTACTTGACAAACACGATGACACTTTTCTGATGCTCTGTCACCCTGTCTTTGAGTAATTCTGTAGTGGCGCTCTACGAATGCAGTCATTTCAATATGGTGCCTCTTCGAAGGGGAGAAATGCCAGTATTTTTACATTCTGTAACACTTACCTTTTATGTTCGTAATTTACGTTTTAATGTTTCTCATTATTAGCCGGCTTCCTTCATCAACCTATAACATGGAAATAAGACTCACCCACTGCCCTCCAATTCACATAGTGTCTGCATTAAACCAAAACGCATGCTTCATCCCTCGTCATGAAACTACATAAAGCGTGAAGAGAAGGCTGGTACGGTGGCTCATGTCTGTAATTCCAGTACTTCGGAAGGCCAAGGTGGGAGAATCGCTTGAGGCCAGGAGTTTGAGAACAGCCAGGGCAACAAAACAAGACCCTGTCTCTAAATTTTTTTTTTTTTAATTAGCCAGGGGTGGTGTTGCATGCCTGTAATCCTAGCTCTTTGGGAGCCTGAGGTTCGAGGATCACTTGAGCCCAGGAGTTCAAGGTTACAGTGAGCTATGATCGTGCTACTGCACTCCAGCCCGGGCAACAGAGCAAGACCCTGTGTCTTAAGGGAAAAAAAAA